GTGAGAGAACCTCAGGGGTGGAAGCCCACGGGCCGATTGCCCTTTTGGATTAATATTTAATAGGATGACCGCCCCTCCCAGCCTGCCAGCCCGGATCAGTGCCACAAGCCAAGGCTCGGCCATGCCACGCACGGGGGCTTTGAGGAAGACTTGACAAAGGTTTAATTAATGAAGATAAATCTACACAGAGACTGTGAGTCCATTAGTTGGCACCACCACCCAGAGAGAAAAGGCGTCGCTAATCACACGCCACAGTAGGTGAAATGACCTGCAGACCAGCAGTGTCCATTTGCTTGCAAATTAAAAAAATGCATTTTCAAAATAAATATGCATGTGGTCTCCATTTGTCATGTTCTCTCTCTTGAAAAGCAGGAAAGCTGAGTTGTTAATGAGCAACCGTTTTCAATATTTTTACTGCCCGGGGAAGCTGAAAACCCAGCTGCGAGTCCAGCAAAAAAAGGCTGGAATTGCCTGGAGAGGAAAGTTGTTCAGGAAGCCAAGCAAAGGCAGTCAATGACTGAGAATCATCCCTGCACAGAAGTGCAAAGAGCACAGTCAGCCTGAGTCCACACGCGGGTGAAAACTCAGGTGTGGCAGACATTTGCTCTTTGCTCCGTGTTGAGGAGTCAGTAATTCAATGGCCTTGGTCTATCCTGAGACGGCCAAGTGGCAGGGCTGGGGCTTAAGTTTCCAAAAGCCTTGAGGGAGGATTTTATAAACTTTTTGAAGATGGTCGGAAAGTGGGCACTCTATTTGGGCCTTACAACAGATACTCATCACTTTCTCTGTAACAAGTGCAACCCACGTGGGTCTGGATACACAGCAGTGAGGGAGATTTCATAGTCTCTGCTCTTATGCACCTTATATTCTAGTTTGGGAAGATGGACAACCAGCACACAAGAAACGACCAGGTGACAACTAAGTGCAGAGACCTGGATGGGGAGAAAGAGCTGGTCGTGCAAAGACCTGGAAAGCATTCCTGGGAACAACAAGTGCAAAGGCCCTGAGACAGGGAGGAGCTCAGTCTGTTGAAGGATTGGAGAAAAGGTGAGTGGTTGAAGCTCCATGACAAAGGGGCTGAGTAGTAGAAGAAAATAGACGGGGGCAAGGTTAAGAAGATAGGCTTTTATTCCAAGTGCAGTTATTGATGTGAAACTTGTCGTTCCCACTGGATTCCAAGCCCTAAGAGTACAGAGTCTATCTTGCTCCCTCAATACGTAGGCTGCATTCCAGGGCACAGGCTGTCTGCCTTTTCATCATTATTTATCCCTTTATTATTACATGTACAAGCATGTAAAATCCACCCCCCCAATAAGTTGCAAATCACTTAATAGTTCAAGCAGGGACCCCTCTCTTCTGACCCTTCTATTATATGTCAGGCCAGCCTCCAATGACCCTTGTCTCCTCGTGTATCTCCTCTCACGCAGAATCGGGGCTTACCCTGTGTGGCCAGTAGTACCGGGTAGAAGGCACAGTGTTTGACACTCAAGGTAGGCCATAGAAATCATCATGGCACCTGGCTTGGTCTCTTGGCTTCCTTCCTCTGGGGGAGGCCAGCGGCCATGTCATGTGGACACTCAAGCAGCAACGTGGAGGCACCCACCTGGAAAGGAACTGAGTCCCCCACCAAGAGCCAGCAACAATCTGCCAGTAATGTAAGGGATCCACCTTGGGAATGGTCCTCATGCCCCAGCTGACACGTGATCGCAACAGGCTCTGTCTCAGAATTACCCAGCTGAGTCCTTCTCCCCTGCTTCCTGACCAACAGAAATGGTGAGAAATAACCAAGGATTGTTTTTTTAAGCCATTGAGTTTTGGGTGATTTGTTAGGCAGTATCAGATAACCAGGATGCCTAGGATAAGGTCACGCACGAAGTAGCAGGTGGAAGCACAACCATGAGGAAGTCCTCAAAGGGAGCTCCGCGGTGGGGGACAGAGGGTAAGGGACACCTGAGGTAAGTGGAGGGCTAATGCTCTGCCTTGAGGGCATCCAAGAGCAGGTGGTCAGAAGAGACCATTAATGAGATTATTTAAGACTGAATGTGGAGGGCAGAATTTATCAATTATCTCCCATGAAGGCAAAAGGAGCCAGGGGATTCAACCAAAATATATCTGTAAGATTCTAGAAGCCATGCAACTTCCCCAACTTGGCTGTTTCTGTTACCTGGGCCGGTTTGACAGTGTGAGATGCTCTTGGATGTTTGTTTAGGGTGATGAACAACCAACCTACAGTGGGGGAAGAGACAGTGCCCTGCCCAAAGCTACTTTGGTGGCGTCTACCAGGAGGGGAGGAGATCAGGTGAGGTCCTGGCACCTGCAGAGGGAATCAGGTCAGGCCTGAGAGCCTGGCAGGGCCTGAGGCAGGCCCCTGGGGCCTAATCATTGACCGTCCATCACACCTGGACGATGCAGGGAGGGAGACCATTGTGGTAACTTCCCGGGGCTTGGGCATGGCCGTCCCCTGGATCTGTCTACTCCTGGAGACTCCCTGCCTTCGTCAGAGCTGGCATCTCACAGGTGAAAATGTGCAGTCATCTCAATTAGAGGTGTGAGGCGCATGCCCAGCAAATTATCCTCAAACAACCCCCTCCTGACATATTTGTTTGGCCAGTTATTTCTGTAATTAATTGATATGGTTCAACTGAGGTCTATTGAATTCTCATTTCAAAATAAATTTGATCTGGAACTCCCAGGTAGCCATCCGATCCAAGTGGTGCTGCTGCAGCAAAGGCCAGAGTGAGAGGAAGGGCCCTGCCTTCCCTCCACCTGCCCTGGCCCCACTCGCTGTCCCTGCGAGGCCCTTCCCGGCAATCCTAATGTTCTAAAGATCATAGCTTGAGAACCATAGACTGAAGCTGTTCCAGAGTTTGTCACATTGTTTCAGGATTATCTGTCACTTGTGATTGTTTGCACTGTTTTCCTCATGACTGCAAATAGCTAGATTAATCTTCCTTAGATACCGCCTCATCTCACACTGCCTGTGCTCTAACATCCCCCATGGGATGCTGCTTCTCAGAAGCTAGAGTCAAAGTGTCTTTCCCAGGTCATCTATGCTTCCTGGACACAGACACAAAGCCTCCTCTCCAGTCACTTTATCCTTACTGTCCCCATGTATCTGCCCTCCCAGGCCCTGCACTTGCATTTCCTCCATCTGTAACACCATCTCCTCCCCTCCATCCACCAGACACACTTGGACCCCACTACCTGTGAGGCGACTCTCTGCCCAGGGGACTTTTCCTCAGGAGTGTTCCATTCGCAAACGCGACCCGGACCAGCCATTGGACCTCGATCAAAAGTCACAGAAATGTGAGGATTGCCAGGGACATGAGAGATGGTCTAGTTCAAGCCCTTATTTTATACATGAGGAGATGGAAGACTGGGGGTTGACATAACTTGCTCAAGATCACAGAGCTAATCAATGCCAAAGTCCCCTCCCTGGAGGCTGGATCTCCAGGCTGTGTTTAATACTCCGGTTGCTTCTTGAAGGCAGAGACTGTGTTTTACAGCTCTCTGAATTCCTCCACATAGTAGGTGTTCAGTGAATATTTGTGGAGTTATTGGTTGGTTGGTGGTTGAGGACTGCTCTTCACTTTTGAAGATAATCAGAAGCCAGCACTGAGAGGAAGGCCAAGAGGGAGCAGCTGTGGGAAGAGTATTTGTTCCCCAAAATATAAGTGCTAGGGACTGGCCACCACCAGATCCTGTGTCTGGATGGAATTTGTGAAAGAAGAAGGGTCAAGAAACATCCCTTCATCCTGAAGCTGTGTTTCTCTAATCGTTAACTTTCTGGTCTGCAAAATCAGGTTCATCTGAGGATTGGGGTAATGTACTTAAAGCACTCAGTATATGTAGACACTCGATAAGTGGTTCTTTTTCTCTTCTTCCCTTTTTAAAAAATCATATTATTCTTATGTGTTTGTATTTAAAAAGATTTACTTATTTGAGAGAGAGACAGTGCATGTGAACAGGGGGAAGGGCAGAGGGAGAGGGAGAGAGAATCTCAAGCATACTCTGTGCTGACTGTGAGCCCACTCAGGATTCAGGTCTCATGATCTGGAGATCATGACCTGAGCTGAAACCAAGAGTCGGATGCTCAATTGACTGCACCACCTAGGCGCCCTATATCATTCTTTTTATTTTTTAAGATTGTTTTTATTTATTCATGAGAGACACACACACACACTCAGAGAGAGACAGAGAGAGGCAGAGACACAGGCAAAGGGAAAAGCAGGATCTCTGCAGGGAGCCCGATGTAGGACTCGACCCCAGGACCCCCAGGATCATGGCCTGAGCCAAAGGTAGATGCTCAACCACTGAGCCACCCAGGGGCCTCATATCATTCTTATCTCTTCCATTTATCGTGAGACTTTTCAAACATACCACAAAGCAGAAAGAATTGTACAATGAGCAGCTGTCTACTAACCACCTAGATTCCATCATTAGCCTTGAAAATGGTTTTTCCACTTATCCATCCATCTCCCTATCCCTCTCTCCATCCATGAATCTATTTTATTTTAAGTGATGCATTTCAAAGTAAATTGCAGACATCAGAACACTTTCCCCTAAATACTTCAGCATGCATATCATTAACTAGAGTTCAATATTTGTTTAGTTTTTCATATGATGTAGAATTTAGTTGTAATGAAATGCATGAATCTTAAGTGTACATTTACCGAGTTTGCACAAATGCAAACACCTGTGTAGTCCAAATCCCCATCAAGATACACAGAGCATTTCCAGCACCACAGAGAGTTCCCTCAAACCCCTTCCCAGTCCATCCCTCCCCAACTCAGGGAAGCAACCATTGTTTAGATTTTTTTTTTTGTTCCTAGCCTAGATCACCTATTACAGAAAGTCACGGACATGGAATCACATAGGATGGACTCTCTGTCGAGCTCTGTCCCCCCAGCATGATGTTTTTGAAGTTTGTCCATAATGTTGTGTGATTAGTAGTCCATCTTTTTTATTGCCAGATAGGATTCCATTTGTTTGTTTATCTATTATCCTGCTCTTCATGTTTAATAAATGCTAGTTCTCTCCCTTCTTTCCTTATGGGAGCTCATCATCAATGACATCAACCACCAGAAAACTGGATCTGAAGAGATCTGGCACCTCTTGGACAGGAAGACCCTGGGCCAGTGAGAGAAGGTACTCTTTCCAACAGCCAGCTCTTTCCTGGCTGATGTCAATGCACCAAAAGAGCATCATGTTGATGGAAGAATCAATTTTAGTTTTCTCCTGGGAGATCTCTCATCCTGTCTTATTCTTACTCAGTGCATTCTTTGTAGCTTCCTCCACCATGAAATGAGTTGAAGCCAATTAAGAGCCTTCTGCTTCCTCATCAGTGATATTTATGACTATGGGAATGTTTATGATGCATGGAGAGGGCCTGGGTCAGAGAGGATACTGAGCTTTTACTGTCCTTGTAAATGGGATTTGTCTCCTGCTTGTTTTTGCCAGGGTTGTAAAAAGGAAGAGTTTGCATCATATAGGTTAGGGTTTCTCCCCTCCTCACCCCCCACACATCTAACCTTTACATTCAGGCTGTGGATTAATCTATGATAAACAATTTTTATTACCAACCTCTGTGCTTGGAATGAAGGAGGCATTTTGGTTTTCCCAACCCTTTGGTAATGTTGCCTCCTTTTTCTGAGATTGCCCTCACACGGCCTTTCCAAGCTACAGCCATAATGTACGAAGGAAAGGCCTTTTAAATCCGATAACAGAACTGCATTCTGTAAGAGGCTCAGGAGCTGTTGGGATCTACCAAAATGCCTCTGCATAAATAAGAAAGGGTCACTTACTTCATGTTTTTGGTAAAATTCCCGAGAAAGCAATCCATTCACTTTAAAATACCCATTATTAAAAGTAGCCCTTCCAGCATGCCTTCTCTCCTGTCTTCCAGGAACATCCTTTTCTTTCCTTCTGGACCCCAAGTTCTCCTCCCAGACCTGGCTGCATCTGCAAACGCTCTACTGCGAATGGCTGTTCCACCTCTGCTCGCAATCACTGTTTCTAGCTCTCCTGTAATATTCACAGATAGTTATGAAAATAGATATACTTATCAATTGCACAACCAGACAAACAGATACGCTCACGGAATGACTCCTAACCTTTCGTGGGGCTGCCCTCCCTTCCTCTCACTAGTGGGATTCTTGAAAACTGTCCTCTCTGCTCTAAGTTTACTCACTGGTCAGCTCCATAATGTGGTCCACTCCCTCCACTGGCCTGTAAGGAGCCAGGAGGCCACCATGCACTTCTCAGCTTTCCTCTTGCCTCCTCTGGTCCTGAAGACCAGTCCCTTCTCTGATGACTTTTGTGACTCTGAAACACTCCTGTCACCCTTTACCTTTGCTGGACTTTATTTTTCTTCCCACTCCCTAAAGGTGCTCCTCACCTCCAAGTGGTGTCATTGGGGCAATTGCATGCCTTCTCCCACCACACTGTGGGCTATCCCTATGGGCAGCTCCAAGCTCCCGGTTGCCCTCAATCCACAGTCTAGGTACTTCACCAGAGGCTTCCATCTGGGTCACCTTCCACCTAAACCCTGCTCATCTCCTCCCACAGCGGGAGGGGCATGGAACGTGGGTTCTGCCCTCTAGGAGCTTAAATTTAGTCAGAGAGACACCCCTGCCGACTCTGAAATGTTCTGTCACAAACCCCGAGACTTAATTAAAATGAAAGGTGCTGATACAACAAGAGTCCTATCACATGACAAAATGTTCAATGAGGGAGTGGCATTATCAATTCCATTGCCAAACACTCTCTTGCTCAGGCAAGGTCTTACAGACCTTGTAGGTCTTGTAGGTCAGCAAATTCATTAGGGAAGGGCAGAAAGGGGTGTTTATTCCCGACAAGAGCAGAGGAGGATAGAACGATTCAAAGAACATTCTTTCAGGACAGGTGGCTCAGGGGTTGAGAGTCTGCTTTGGCTCAGGTTGTGATCCCGGGGTCCTGGGATCGAGTCCCACGTCAGGCGGATTCCCCTGCAGGGAGCCTGCTTCTCCCTCTGCCTGTGTCTCTGCCTCTCTCCTTGTGTCTCTCATGAATAAATTAAAAAAAGAGAAAAAAGAACATTCTTCCAACCACACAGTAAATGATACTTCTTCACGTTTTTTCACCTTGCTCCCCTAGGAGATTTTGGAAGTTTTTTTTTTTTTTTCTGTTGTTAGTTGTCACATTGACTGAGGAGTGCTATTAGCATTTAGTGCCTGGAAATCAGAAATGATAAATATCTTGTAATGACAAAATTGGGCTCATGCAATGGATTGTCCTGACTGTAGCACCAATGTTGGAAAACATAAGTGGTAACTGACTCCTCCTTGCCACCTCCATCCTCCCAAGAAATTGAAAAACAGGGTCATCCTCCCCTAACCCCACCTTGGCTTGACTTTGCCAAGTCAAGCCAGTAAAATCCACACATAGTGAATGGAATTGTATCATGGTAACTAATGCCCAACGGGCAGACTCAAACACATGCCTAGGGCACCAGCCAGAAAGAAGAGTAAGTTCAGCTGTGTTGAGCTTATTCACAATTTTGCAGGCAAATTTTGCAAAATCTAGAGTTTTTTTTTTAATTTTAGCATAAATTAATGTTTATTGTTAGATCAAAAAATAAAACTTTATTTTGAATTTCATGTGAGCCAGTTCCTGTGTACCTGTCAGGGGTTAGGGCCGATAGAGACATTAATTGGGCGCTGGGAGTGGCCCAGAATACAATACATGTATGACTGAGCAGTTGCTGGAAACAGTCGTCATGCTGAAGAGGCTGGTTTTAGGAAGGCAAGACTAGAAGGGACTGTGATTAGGGAACCTGAAGCCTCATTGAGGGTGCGCTATGTTGTCTGGGGGAAGACGGTAACACATGACGGGAGGCCAGGTGGTCGGTGTGTGGGTGTACAGATAGTAATTAGTGTGTTCCGGGCACTGGGCCGGGCACTGGGGTACAGCATGAACAAGGCAAAGGCCCTTCCCTCAGGGCAGGAGAGGAGGAAACAAGAATCCTACAGCCATAGGTCACATCCACATGCACCCAGACAGCCGTGAAGAGGGATTCCAGGTCAAGAAGGGAGCCTAGGGCACCGGGGGTCTGAGGAAAACACGTTGACAGGGTTATGGAGCACTTGCAGGAGCGGCGGGCGGGGATCTGGTCCATGGTCAGCGGAGGACTGGTCCCCAGCCTCACCCGGACTAGAGGGAAGCCGAGAGGAGCCGACCCCCCGCTCGGGGAGCAGAAAGGTCCTGGTTGGCTGCGGGGACAGGGCCGGTGGGCGTGGCCTTTGCCTCATTGGCCGTTGGGCCGGAGGGGGCGTGGCCTGGTGGAGCCACCGAGTTGGTGCGGGCACTGCAGCCTGAAGTCCGGAGCGGAGGGGATGCGCGCGACTCTGGTGGGTCCCAACAGGAGACACAGGACACCTTCGTCAGGATAACCGAAGAAAGGGAACTGACAGGTGTGGGTGCGGCGTGGGGGAGCCACGGGGATGTCGGGGTGATTTGGCTCCCGGTCAGCCCTAAGTGGAGGTGGGGAAGTGGACAAGAGAGACTGGGTGCAAGAAGGGCTCAGAGAAAGGTAGAGATGGGAGGTGGTTGTGAGAGAGACTGGGGCCACCTCCCGGGGAGGCAGCGGGAGGCGATGGGGGATACCGTGACCTTACCCCCTTGCTCTCCAGTCTCCTGCCGGCCGCCGTTGGTCAAATCCGGTGGGGAGTGAGAGGACGGAGAGCAGGGAGGAGGGCTGAAGAGAAGCTACACGGCACAGGGTGACGTGTGGGCCAGGGTGCAGGGGTCCCAGTCCTGCAAAGGAACCCTCCCTCGTGAGCGAGAGCCGGTCTCCCACGACACTGGCTGGCGGCGGCGCGGAGGATGAAGAGCTACCGAGCAGCCTGCTACAGGCCCGAAAGGCCTCAAGCACCACGGGTTCTGGCCCCGTCTGCTTCCTCCTATCCCCACCGCCTCACCCTCTGGCCACCACCTTTTCCTGACTGCATTTCTCCGACGGCGTCCTGCCTGGTCTTCCTGCCTCGTGGCCTCATCCAGATCTCTAGCCTGCAGCCTAATCTTTCCAAGATAGGGATCAGAGCACATCAGTTCCTTCCCTAAGGCCCCCTGGCCCCAGCAGCCAGTATGAAGTGCACACATCCTACCATGGCTTGGGGAGCTTCTCATGATCTGGCCTCATTTCCTGCCAGTCCTACCCTAGTTCTCCTTCCCTTCTTTCAACCTTCCCTCAGCCAAACCTTTTTCTCCAAATCGAGCCCACTGTGATACAGAACCACTCTCTGACCTTTCTCTGACTCTGGGTTTTGGCACATGCTCTTTCTTCTCTGAAAAGTCAGGAAGTCAATTCTAACCTAACCTTTTCTTATTCCTTATTCCTTCATTCCTGGTTACCCTTGGCAAGCGTTGGGTGCCTCTCCTCTATGTTTGCACAACATCCTGGCCCTGCCCAAACCATAGAATTTATTTTTAAAATTCACTAGCTATTTACTGAAAACCTGCAATGCATCAAGCTCTTACCACCTCAGGGCCTTCACTTATGCTGTTTTTCTGCTTGGCATGTTTTTTAATTCTTCATCCGACTAACACCCTTTGGGTGTCAGCTGAAATGTTATTTCCTACAAGAAGTTATCCCTTCATGCCTGGGTGGCTCAGTCGGTTGGGTGTCTGCCTTCAGTTCAGGTCATGATCCCAGGGTCGCTGCTCAAGAGGAGTCTGCTTCTCCCTCTCCCTCTGTAGCCCCCTCCACTTGTGCTTGCTTTCAAATAAATAAATACAATCTTAAAAAAAGAAGAAGAAGAAGAAGAAAAAGAAGAAGAAGAAGAAGAAGGAGGAGGCAGATGCTCTCTCCTCTCATTCTCCTGAACAGCATCCTGTATGATTTGGTTTACTTGATGTCTATATTCCCCTCTACGTATGGGAAGGTGCCAGATCTGCTTTATCCGTTCCTGTGTGCCTATCTGTAGTTTAGAGCCTGGCATGCAGTGGGCACAGATCACAATGCAGTGAGGGGAGGGAAGCAGTGGGGTTCTCCCATTAGACCATGGCAGGGCATAAAGGGCTGTAAAGTAAATTTTACTCCTTAAGTCAAATAAAAATTACTAAAACAAAATTAGGCATGAAAGTGGACCTTTATTCAACTGTGAAAAGAAATGGTAAGAAATTGTAGAGTTTTAAAGCTGAAAATACCAAAAATATCACAAAATACAGAAAGATGATACAGTATTTTTATCATTTTTTAAAAGATTTTATTTATTTTGGAGAAAGAGTATGTGCATGTGAGCAGGGAGAGAGGGAGAGGGAAGGGGAGAGAACTCAGGCAGACTCTGTATTGAGTGCAAAGCCTGATGCAGGGCTCTGTCCTACGACACTGAGATCATGACTTGAGCTGAAATCAAGAGTTGGACACTCAATTGGTTAAGCCACCCATGTGGCCCTTATTATTATTTTAAAAGATTTTTTTCTGAGTAATCTCTACACCCAGTATGGGGCTCGAACTCACAACCCCAAGATCAAGAGTTGTATGCTTCACCGACTGAGCCAGCCAGGCACCCCTACAATGTTTTTATTAATTAACTGCCTAGCACACTGCTATAATTCTTTCTTCCTCTGCATTTTTTGGCTGAATACTCTTTTATCTGAATATTCTGAAGAGGACAACAATTTTGTAATATTTTCTGCATAGAGAAAGGAAAGAATCAAGTCTTTGGGTTAACAAAAATTGTTTTTATTATTAACAGTTGGGATGCATAAAACATGTGATTTCACAATCAGACATGCTTTCTGTTTGTAGACCTGCTATAGTTCATACCTTATAAACATAGGAATTCTGATAAATCCTATTGACATAATTCCCATCAAAACAGAAAAAACAGTAGAGCATAGAGTTGTATTGCTGTATTACTGAATATTCTGAGTGTATATGAGTAGATATGTTTGAGAACTGGATCTTGCACTTAGAATTTTGTACATCTGATGATTGGAAGAAACCCCCATAGACTTTTATTTGGTGCTGTACAATGCAAATTTGGTTTCTCCTCCACTACCCACATGCTTCCCAGTGCCAGGCTCCATAGGACACTCTCCAATCTGATACGATCTTTGGCCTTGCTCCTTAGTGTCACAATGCCAATTGAGTCGGCACCAAGAGCAGTAGAAGGATTCCTGGAAGCCGTTTCCACACTGTGAGGGCTAGCACAAATTATTACACACAAAAGTGACTGCCAACCACCTAAATACATACCACAAAACACAAACCCAGTTATATCTCTAACTTCACTTCCCCTTCACCAAATCCCACAAATGCCCCTGGTCACTTCAGTGCCACCCTGTACTGGGGGAAACATGACAGAGGGACATCTGAGTGGAAAGAGACAGCATTCTTAACCAAGTGTGCTGAAAAGAGCTTGCTTTTGCAACGTCTACAAAAAACATGTGACCGCATTGTAAGGACCCCTTTTGGAATTTGTGCCAATGGGAGATCCTAAAACTTGAGCTTCTTGAACCTCATGGTAAATCTGCCTCTGTCTGTATCTTATTCACTATGGCACGCTGCCCCTTGCACCAATCCTGGCACATAATAGTTGCTTACTGATATATGCTGAGTGAGGGGAAGTGTTGCTTGGCCTCATTATGCAGGAGATATTTTTCTCCCCCAGTAGATCTCATTGCCTTGATTTAAAGCCAGTGCTCATGGAATAGTTGAGTAGAGGTAGTGAATGCCGGGGGGCGGGGCCCTGGGTGGAGGGACCACTTGGTGGGATAAGCTTTCCATTCCCTCGTTGCTGGGCAAATAAGCCGACACCAAAACCTCAGCTGCCCTCATTAGCCTCAAGGCACCCTGGCTGCCCTCTCCAGGTAATTCTAATTGGCTCCAATCAGGGAGAGCTGGGCCTGGGCTTTATTAACAGTGACAGCAGCTCCACTGTTAGAATTGCAGGTAGAAAGGTCACGTTGGAAGCAGTATTTCCAAGCACAGAATAATTACAGACAGAATTCATTCTGGCTTTCGCAGCTATGCTGAGGAATATTTATTTATCCAGCCCTGCCGCTGAGGTCTTCTGATTTCCTACTTCCATTTTCTTCCTTGTTGTGAGGGCTGTTGGCCTTAAAAGTCCCACATTCATTTTCCTTTATGACCTTGGGTACAGCAAGCAGAAGCAGTCTGGATTCCCAAAGGGCTAGAGGGGTCTTCAGTACTGAAGAATTCATCGGAAATTCCAGGTAAGGAGGATGGGCTGCATTTCTAGACCAAAGGTGGTCACCTCTGGCCAGTGGTTTAAACATGCTGGTATAGGAGAACCAAGTGCAGTGAACCTCAGGCAGTGAGTCACTCCTCCCTCTGCTCCACAGCTTTTGGCTCATGTCTCTATTACAGGACTCATTGCACTATATTTTATTTATTTGCCTCACCATCT